ATCATTAAACAACATTTCTCTAATAAATTATTAACCAAATGTCTGTCGCATTAATTAATTAGTTTGTAAGTATTTTTATTCATAATTTTTAAAATCAAGTTTCAATCCAACTTAATATTAAATAACACTTCGCTAATAATATTAATACATTAATTAATTAGCAAGTAAGCATCTGATTCATAACTTTTAAAACCAAAGTTTCAAGCCAACTTAACACTTCTCTAATCAATTATTAATCAAACGTCTGCCACATTAATTAGACGGTAAGTATTGATCCATAGCTTTTAAAATCAAAGTTTGACGCTAATTTGACATTAAATAACGCTTCTCAATCAAAAATTAATCAAATGTCTGTCACAAGCATGTAAGTGTTTTGATCCATAATTTTTTTAATATCAAAGTTTCAGGTCAACTTAACATTAAATAGCACTTCTCTAATCAATTATCAATCACAAGCATGTAAGTTTTTGATTCATGATATTTTAAAATCAAAGTTTCAATCCAACTTAACCCTTCTCTAATCAATTATTAATCAAATATCTGCCACATTAATTAATTAGTCGGTAAGTGGTTTATTCATAATTTTTAAAATCAAAGTTTCAAGAAACTTAACATTGAATGACACTTCTCTAATCAATCTCTAATCAATGTCTGTCACCCTAATTAATTAGTTTATAAGTATTTTTATTCATAATTTTTAATATCAAAGTTTCAAGCAAACTAATGACACTTCTCTAATCAATTATCAATCAAATGTCTACCTCAAGCATGTAAGTATTTTTTGTTTCAAATTTTTTAAAATCAAAGTTTAAAGCCAACTTAACATTAAATAACAATTCTCTAATCAATTATCAATCAAAATGTCTGTCACAAGCATGTAAGTGTTTTGATTCGAAATTTTTTTAAAATCAAAGTTTCAGCCAACTTAACATTGAATAACCCTTCTCTAATCAATTACCAATAATTACCAATTAAATGTCTGTTATACCAATTAATTAGTTTGTAAGTATTTTGATTCATAATCTTTAAATCAAAGTTTCAAACCAAGCCAACTTAACATTTAATGGCATTTCTCAATCAACTATCAATCAAAATGTCTTCCACAAGCATGTAGGTGTTTTGATTCATAATATTTTATAAAATCAAGTTTCAAGCCAACTTAACATTAAATAACCCTTCTCAAATCAACTATTAATCAAATATTTTTCACATTATATTATTAGCAAGTAAATATTTTGATTCATAATTTTTAAATCAAAATTTCAAGCCCACTTAACATATAATAACCCTTCTCTAATCAACTATCAATCAAATGTCCGTCACAAGCATGTAAGTGTTTCAACTTTCAAGCCAATTTAACATTAAATAAACTCTTTAATCAATTACTACTCAAATTTTGGTCACATTAATAAGTTTGTAAGTATTTTGATTCATAATTTTTAAAATCAAAGTTAAATAACACTTCTCTAATCAATTATCAATTAATGTCTGCCACAAGAATGTAAGTGTCTTGATTCATAATTTTTTTAAATCAAAGTTTCAAGCCAACTTAACATTAAATAACCCTTCTCTAATCAAATATTTTTCACATTAAATTATTAGCAAGTAAGTATTTTGATACATAATTTTTAAAATCAAAGTTTCAAGCCAACTTAGTATTAAATAACATTTCTCTAATTAATTGTCAATCATATTTCAATACACAAGCATGCAAGTGTTTTGATCCATAATATTTTTAAATCAAAGTTTCAAGCCAACTTGACATTGAACAACACTTCCCTAATCAATTATTAATCAAATATCTATCACAAGCATGTAAGTGTTTTAAGTGTTTTGATTCATAATTTTTAAACCCAAAATTTCAAGCCAACTTAATGTCAAATAACACTTCTCTAATCAATTAATTAATTAGTCCGTAAGTATTTTTATTCATAATTTTTTAAAATCAAAGTTTCAAGCCAACTTAACATTAAATGACATTTCTCTAATCGATTATTAATCAAATGTTTGTCTTTCACATTAATTTATTAGCGAGTAAGTATTTCATTCGTAATTTCATTAAATCAATGTTTCAAGCCAACTTAACATTAAATTACATTCCTTTAATCAATTATTAATCAAATGTCTGACACATTAGTCCGTAAGTGTTTGGATTCAGAATTTTTTAGAATCAAAGTTTCAAGTCAACTTAACATTTAATAACCCTTTGATCAATTACTAAACAAATGTATGACTCATTAATTAATTAACACTTTCTCTGAAACTATCAATCAACTGTCTATCACAAGCATGTAAGTGTTTTGATTCATAATTTTTTAAAATCAAAGTTCAAACCAACTTGACATTAAATAACACTCCTCTAATCAAATTTCTGTCACAAGCATGTAAGTGTTTTGATAAATAATTTTAAAATCAAAGTTTCAAGCTATATTAACATTAATAACACTTCTCTAATCAATTATCAATCAAATTTCTATTAAAAGCAGTAAGTATTTTGATTAATAATTTTTAAAATCAAAGTTTCAAGTCAATATTAAATAACACTTCTCAATCAATTATCAATCAAATGTATGCCGCAAGAATGTAGGTGTTTTGATTCATAATTTTTTTAAAATCAGAGTTTCAAGCCAACTTAACATTAAAGAATACTCCTCTAATCAATTATCAATCAAATGTCTTTCACAAGCATGTAAGTATTTTGATTCACAATTTTTAAAATCAAAGTTTCAAGCCGACTTAACATTAAATAACACTTCTCTAATCAATTCTTAATCAATTGTCTGTTACAAGCATGTAAGTGTTTTGATTCATAATTTTTAAAATCAAAGTTTCAAGCCAACTTAACAATAAATATCACTTCTCTAAAAACATTTGATTGATAATTGATCAGAGAAGTGTTAAATTTTGATACTCACGCACTGGAATATAATATATGCATTAATTAATAATTGATTGGAGAAGTGTTTTTTTTAATGTTAAGTTGGTTTGAAACTATGATTTTTAAAAGTTAAGTTGGCTTGAAACTTTTATTTTAAAAAAATTATGGATAAAAGCACTTACATGTTTGTGTCTAATTGATTAGAGGAGTGTTATTTAATGTTAAGTTGGCGTGAACTTTGATTTTAATAAAATTATGAGTCAAAACACTTACAGGCTTATGACAGACATTTGATTGATTAGAGAAGTGTTATTTAATGTTAAGTTGGCTTGAAACTTTGTTTTAAAAATCATGAATCAAAATACTTACTAACTAATTAATAAAAGTAAAAAATCATTCATCGAAATTAAAGCATCAGTAAATCAAACACTAAATACCTTACCAATCAATTATTAATCAAACTTTTGCCACATTGATTAATTAGCTCAAGCCAACGTAACATTAAATAGCACTTCTCTAATCAATTATTAATCAAATGTTTTCTCACGTTAATTAATTAGCTTGTAAGTATTCTTATTCATAATTAAATCTTGAAATCTAAAGTTTAAATTAATTTGACATTACAACATTTCTTAAATTAATTACATGCATATTATGTGAGTACATTGATTCATATTTTTGAAAAACTTTTAAACTAATTTAATAATTTTTTTTAGCTGGAACGGAAAGTGTAATGAATGTAACCAAATAATACTGGATCAAGATATTGCAACTCATGTAATAGCAAAAGATTTCAAAGTGAATTTGATAAATGAACAAGTGGAAATAATGAAATAGACGAGCTTATTCGACAAACGCAACTAAAGGCAAACAAATATACAGAAATTATTGAGTGGATTCCATTTGACAGATTTGAGATTGTTGAATACCTTGCTAATGGTGGATTTGGTACTGTCTATGAGGCAATATGGCTCGATGGATGTATTGATAATTGGGATCATAGAGAAAAAAGATGGTTAAGATCACGACCAAGATATGTTTGTTTAAAAAGGTTCAATACTTCTACAAATCAAAGTGCATTTTTAGAAGAAGTAAAATATTTTATATTATTTAATTTTCATCATTTGAGTAAACAATAATTAATTTTAATTATACTTTAGTTTAAAAATTAACTCAATTTTCAAGTTGAAGGTGCAATCAAAATATATGGAATAACTGAAAATCCTGCGGAAAATGATTACATGATAGTTATGCAGTATGCTTCAGAGGGAAGTCTTCGAAATATATTAAATAAGAGGTTTAATCATTTAACTTGGAAAGATAAAATTAATATTTTATACCGTATTGCCTTTAAACTTTTTAGAATTCATTGTAAAGGTTTAATGCAAAAAAATTTTCATCCTGATAATATAGTCAAAGAATCCTTAGATGTTTATTTTACAGATGTTGGATTATGTAAACCAGTTTCTGAAAATGATCCCAAAAAAATCTATGGTATTATTCCATATTTAGCTCCTGAGATATTGAAAGGTGGAGAATATACTCGAGCATCAGATATATATGCTTTTGGTATGGTCATGTTAGAAGTTTTTACTAGTTATCCACCATACTATAATATTCCACATAAATCTTGTAAGTTCAATTTGTAATGGATTTAAACCTGAGATTAAATGCGAAATCCCTCAATTGCTTAAAGATATAATGGAAAAATGTAAAAATGTTGGGATACTGAACCTTGCAATCGTTTTACTGTTAAAGAATTAAAAATCCAATTGAAAAAATATTGTGAAAGTAATTATGAATTAGAAAAACAAATTGAATTGCAGCCGTTAATAAAGTAAATGAGAAATTCATTCGATATGATCCAAGGGAAAAACATCCTCAAGCAATATATATTAGCAGGTATTTGCATTTCCTAAAACATGGTAAGCATATTTTCAATAATAAGCCGCTGTTGTTTTGAATATTTTAAACATAAAAAAATGGTCTTGGATCTCTTAATAATTTGCGTTTAATATTGTATTTTTTAAATCATTTGCAATCTTTAAATTTGCGTAGCAGACGAAGATAATCCGTTTTTTAAAAGAATAAAAGAGAAAAAAAAATGCAATAAGAACCCAAGATGAATGAAAAATCTGTCATAAATAATGCAGTTTTTGGCGATATTCTTGATTGGTTTCAATTTTTAGAATCGAATGATATGCTTTCTTCTGAAGATATAAGTCAAACTGACTTTTTCTCGGTAAAAAGAACTATCATGCTCGGTACAACAGCTACTAAAAATCTTGAAAAATTATTGCTTGAACAAAAAGATGCGATTGAGAATATTCTAAAATCACAACCTGTGTCTGCGGTGGGACCTAATTTTCGACAAGGTTACTCCATACCATGTATTGCCTGTTATGTTTCTAAATTGCTTGAAGCCCAAGTTTTAGAAAATCTTTCGGCAATGTTTGATGATAGATTTGAAATTGAAGAATAGATGGTGGAGCCCATGGAAGAAGATACAGATGGCAATAGTAATAATAATCATAAGATCCATCAAATGGAAATAAAAGCATATCTAGTGAAATTGCTAATAATTTATCAGATGGTGACGTGGAGATGGGAGATGCAAATGGAAATGGAAATGAGAACGCTGAAAGTACTAATGGAAATGGTGATGAAAATGGGAATAGTGGTGATGGAAATAGCAATGGAAATTACAATGAAAAAGGTAATGGTGTTGATGGAAATAGCAACGAAAATGGCAATGGTGTTGATGGAAATAGAAATAGAAATAGCAATGCAGACGGAGATGGAGGTGAAGGTGGAAGTGTAAGTGGGAAAGAAAATGCGGATGAATTTGTAGAGGTTTCATCTGAAGCAAGGGTTATTTATAAAAATTATGAAAATGAATCCCAAAGTTTTAATATCAATGTTAAACTTTGGGCAAATGTTAGCCTTGATCATAAATTTTTACCGCCTGAAAATACTTTGAAATTCAAAGTGTATTTAGTTTCATGCGGAGTAGGAAGAATGTTAAATGAAATATGTCAAAAACTTCACAACTTTTAATGACAGATCTAATATGATTTCATTAAAAAACAAATATATGCCACAGAAATATTTTACTTCTGTTGATCATCCAGTAAATTGTGAGCAAAACTTGGGTGTCAATTTAAATTTTGGACAAAATATGGCGGGAGGTCCTATGTACAATTATAGAAAGAATAAAAGTATCAAGACAACAACTGATGATTGGCATATAGAACGGTCGGAATCCTCTACAACTGGTGTGCAGCGGTTATATCGCTTTACTGTGCAAGAACTCTATAAAGATGGTGAAAATCAACGCAACTTACCATCAACAGATATCCATTCTGGTCACTGGTATATTAATTATAATGTGAAAGATTTTCTATCACGATTAAACAAATGCTAAACTGTAAAATTAAATCAAATATATTTAATAAATTAAGTTTTGGCGTGATAAAGTGCCCTAAGTTAGTTCATACACTTGAAATCACTTTCAACAGTCTTGAGAAATTCAACATGGGCTTTGCTGAATTAAGAAAAAAATTTCATCGTGATCTTCAAATCCTCAAATTAAATTAGAAAAAAATGGCATTAAATATTCAGATATCAAAAGACAACGATGAAAAAAATAAATTCTTGTTACTGATTTTAAACGTAAATTGGAAGATTTAAAACAGAACAAAATTCGAAAAAAATAAATTATGTGAGATTGATACGTACATCAAATTATTCACTTCTAAAATCGAAAAGAAAATTATAGATCGTTTATATTTATTTCAGTCTCAAATTTATCACTGTATATGTTGAACATGGCATAGTTACATGAGTTAATTATACCCAAATCCCTCTATCTATAAGCTAAGCACATATAAAAATTCTTTTTATAAGCATACATATTTTAAAGCCTATTACTATGAACACAGAAAAAAACCTTTATATAAGTACGATTCATTTATAAGCACTTTTTTTATGATAAGAATTTCGATTTTTAAAATAATAAATAAAATATTTATATATTTATTTGGTTTTTTTTTTTGCATTTAAAAATTTATACAATTTTTGAATTTTTGAAATTTCTCTATTTTCGTATTTAACAAAAAAAAAAAATCTATTCTAATGCTAATGCTTTCATATGTGATAAAGTGTTATTTTTCATAAAAAAAATGAAGTCATATCTCTACAAAATATACAAATGTCAAATTAAATATTTGTCATTAACTGATAAATAATTAATTAATCATCTCTACGTTTAAATATCATCATAGTCATAAATTTTCTATTTGGTTTACAATCACAATTTAAATATTCACATTTACAATGTAGAGAATTATTTACTTCATCAAAAAAAATTTTGTTATTCTCATTATAATATCTATTTAGATTTTCGTCGAAGACGTTAATGTTTTGTGAATTTTTAATTGAATTGTTACAATTAGGAACGGTTAAAATGGTTATAAAATCATATTCAGGAATTGATAAATTATTTTCGCTTTCGTCATTCTCTTCAATTCCTTTTAACATTATTGGAATTTCACCATCTAAATTGTGATCGTTAAAATTATAAATTTCAGATTTTGAAGTAAAGACTGTTGAATTAGATTGATCACTAAATCTATTTATATCATTTTCAATATAATTATCATTATTATTATTACTGTTATCATATTTGAAAGTTGATTCATTGAGATGGTTAAAGTCAAAGTTATTGAGATTATTTAGGTTGACAAAATTTCCAGGTTGATTGTTTGGATTATGATAAATGATAGGAACTTCTACAGATGATGATGAACCTGACATATCTTCTTCATTATCCTGTTGAAAATGGTTGTTGATAGATAAGAACTTGTTTGGAGTTGGTGAGAAACATCTTTGTGTGTGTGTATCATCATCTTCAATGCATTCAACATCTTCATTACATTTACCTACACCAGCTGCACTATCATTATCTTTTTCGGATGGAGTCTCAAATGGAGTTTTGAATGGTAACTCGTGATTATTTAAAAAATCATCATATGAATTTTGATTACTAAATTTTTGAATTGGAATAATTTTAAATTTAGGCGCATTTAAATGTTCAGATATTCGTTGAGCTACCAATGCTTGTAATGGTTTAATTTCATAAAATTTCGCTTCAATTTCGAGTTTTCTTAATATGGAAAGAGATAATTTTGGTAAATTTGAAGTACGTAAAAAATCTAAAATGTGAATAAATATTGAACCATCTCTATCAATAAAAAGTTCTTCCGGCCAAGGAATTTGTGGTTGTTTTGGATAATTATAATAATTTTGATGTGATTTATTATTATTGAAGGTCGTTGGATTTGGGGATCGAAATAAGAAGAAAAGTTCCGATAGATAAGATGGATAAATACAAAGAGTTTGTTGAGTGGTGATATAAAGAATGCCACCAACATTAAGTTTTAGAGGAACTGGATGAATAGGACTATAAAAAATATAAAATTTATTAAATTATTAGAAAATGAAATTTTTATTTAACGGAAAATTTTTCGAATAAAAAAAAAAAAAATAATTAATTTATTAATTTTTATTTACCTTGGTTCCAATATGGAAATACTTTGAAAAATCTTGGAATTTCTAAAGAAATTATTCAACTTTGTAGGAACGTTTTTTGTAGTGACGGTATTCGTTTTTTCTGGTTGTTCTCTTTCTTCATTTATAAATTTATTGAGATTTGTTATATCTGGTGGGTGTATTCTAGATGAATTATCGATATTTTCTTCTACAGACTGATTTCTTTGATTTTCTAAATTTTCTTTAGTAGCAGCAGCATCGGCAGTTTTACGAAGGTTGTTTTTAGATTTAGGTTTTGTGCTACATAACAATAAGGAAAATTTCGGTTTAAATTTACGCAGCTTTTTAAATAAACTAAATTTATGTTTGTTGACTGTACTCGTCGACATTGTTTATTTAATAAATTTAAGTTAGTTATTGAATATATTTAGTAAAAAAATTTTTTTTTGAATCTGAGAATTTTTTTTTTCATTCAAAGTTAAATTCTCATTTCATATTTATCATTTTTTTTTTACTATTTTAAACAAAGTCAATGCAATGTTTGCAAATGATATAATGCATAGAGTTATATATAGATTAACCTAGATGCTTCAACTTTTGCAAGAGAATAGTTTTAGAAATCAGTCCCAAATTTTTCTAAAAAAAAAAGGCAATGGAGTTCCTTATTTCAGTCAAAAATCTCTTATTCCTTCTTTAATAAATACTTTATTTTTTTATGAAACAATTTATTCCATGTGCTATTTTAATAAAGAAATTATGTATTAAATATTTCAATTGTTTCGGAATATCCGTAGTATCGGAATATAAAACTCATTTATTTATATCACAAAGCCTATTACACAAATTAAGTGCAACATCGAAAAAAAAAAACAATGAAAATTCACCCAAAAAAAGCAATGAAAATCGATAAAACATATTCTCTTTGATGATGATGTATGCACACAAAAGATCAACTAAAATTAAAACAATAAATGCGTGCATACATAAATTCGGAAATCTTGATTCGTTACATTTAAATTATAATAGCTTTAAAAAATATTTTACTGTTGCCAATAAATTCAATATTTGATATATAACAACAATAAATCCTAACCAATAGCTAACATCTTCTAATATCTTTGAGTCTCAAAATAAAAAATATTGTCAACCATGGATTTTGATTTGTAATTAAATTAATATTTCTTTCGGAATTATTTTCTTGTCAATGGTCACATTATTAAATATTATCGTGTTGAAAAAATTTACAAATTTTCGTTGTTCGTTACTCTAAATATAAAAAAAAATTGCCGCAATAAATCGCGGTACATTCAGTGAATTTCCTGTCAGGTTGATTTTATGTTTAAATAGTCATATCTTTTTGGAATACGACAAAAAACATGAAAATAATTGGTATTATAGGAGAATAAAGAAGATAACATAATAGTTATGATGGTAATAGCACCCGTTTCTTTATTTGATTAAAAGATTTAATTTTACACAATAATTGTTCAAAGAAAAAAAAATAAACACATGTCAAAATAATAAAGTTTTTCATTATTTATGAAAAATATTGACTATTTATGACCCTATTTTACTTGATAATAATTTAATAATTGTAAATTTAATCGAATAAATTAATTAAATAAATAATAAATTACAAAAATAAAAATAAATTATAAAAATATATAGTTACATTAAAATAAATTATGAAACATGAAATAAAAATAACGATTTTGTTACCATTCAACATTATAACTTTTTACCTAATTTTAATTTAAATGCAATAATAATATTATCATTAATTTAATATTAATTAATAGAAAATAAAAATGATTAATTATTATTAGATAACAAAAATTTCACCTTGCTGAAGAAAAAATTCTTATCATTTCTTAAATTCAATTCAACCTTTTCTTCAGTATCAACATTTTCAGTAAAATAAGCTGCAAAATAATAAAAAAAAAAAAAAAATTTAAAAAAATTAAAAAAAAATTAAAAAAAAAAAAATTTAAAAATTTAAAAATTAAAAAAATTAAAAAAAAAATTAAAAAAATTAAATATATATTAAATAATCATTGTTTAATAATAATAAATAGAAAAACATACATATCCAATTCAATTTATTATTCTTTCCTCGTGAAGTTGATCTTAATTCAAAAGTCATATGAAATTTTACTCTTGTAAGATCACGATCTATGGAAGTTATTCTTAATATATTATTATATTCATCAAATGACCATTCTCCTCTCATAAATCCTTTAGATTTATATTCATAAGAGAAATTCTTGACTAACAATTTCGGTTCGGAAGTCGTTAATAATGAGATACATGTACCATCAGGGTAGAAACGAAGATATCTAAAGTAAGTTACTAAATGTATTGGTTGATTCCAAGAGATTTCTGTCGAACCAGGCCTAAAAAATTAATTATAAATAAATAAATAATTCTAATAAAATAATTCTTTTCATTTCGATAATAAAATTATTAGAAGAAATATAAATATTATAAATATTATTAATTTACTTTACCTCAAATAATGACATTTTGATATACAAACTCCATCAAATCTTATTCGAGGTCTAATTACAATAATAAAATAATATAATAATAATAAAATATTATAATAAATAAAAAATAATATAATAAATAATATAATAAATATATAATAATAAAAAAATATAAAAAATATAATAATAAATATGATAATAAATATGATAATAAATTACCTCTCAATATACATTTTTCTCCAATCATTATCATATAATTTTAAATATTCTTCTTGTAATAAATTTGACGCTTCGTACGACAAATTAATGTCACGATAAGCTTTTTGACATAAATATTTCCATAATGAAGCTTCTCTTGATAATAACCAAAATTTCCTACAAGCCAATCCAAATCTCTCAAGTGAAGTTACATCTCCATTCATTATCAATTGTTGAAGTATACAAGTAATTAATTCATTTGGAAGCCTGGAAATATAAACTGGCTTATTTGGTTTCAATGGTTCATAATAAAGCTCAACATTCTTTAACAAATTAAATAATTCTATTATTGGATCATGCAGTTCTTCACGGTTTGAAGAATTTTGTGGCTGAATCATTTGTTCTTCTATATCATGAAATCTATTAACGAATTTTGGTTCTTCTTCTAAATGTCGAATAAAAGCTTCGGAAATACCAAAACTCTCTGTATCTTTCCCATTAACTACATTTTGAAATAGTTTTCTGTAAGCATGTTCTACACTTGCATCAAGTTTTAAAGCTTGACGATAATTCTTTAATGCTTTAAAATAATGAATAAATTAATTGTAAATTAAATTAATATATAATAAATAGATAATAAATAGATAAAAATAGATAAAAATTAGATAAATTAAATTAATTATATTATAAATTTAAAAGGTAAATACCATCGCCCAAATTGCCTTCTTGTTCTTTGATAACAGCTCTAATATAAAGTTCCAAAGCATTGTGTTTTTGAATTTCTTTGTCATTTTCCTTGAAATATGAATCTTCACACGTCACAGTTGTCTCAAGCTCAACTTGCGAATCTTGATCCTGTATTTCCCTTGATACCTTACTATTACTGGTACTAGCAATGATATCTAAAGTTTTTGTTGCTTTTGTTGTTTTTTTTGAAGGACTTAAAGGCTTCTTTTGTCTATTTTTCAATTCCTCCCGCCAGAGTTTTCGAAAATTTTCTAACTCAATCGCACCATTATTTATTGGGGTAGACGAGGACGACGAAATATTAGAAATATCTTTCATTATTAAATCGATATATTTTATGAATTCGGAAGTCGGTTCAGATTGAAAAAAAAAAGATTTAACGAATTTTATACTAGCTAGTCTAGTGTTACAGACTTATTTTAACGCAGTAAATTATTATTTTTAACGCAGTAAAATTATTTTAACGCAGTAAACTCATACAAATATATTTTGAATTTTGCAATTTTTTTTTTTTTAAACTGAATACCATCTTTTCATCCAATTAACAATTTTGATTCTTTGAATTTCCTACTTATCGATGTGTTTTAATTATTTTTCATAAGAATTGGAAGTAGTTGATTCCTTGGACTTTAGGATCTACAGTGGGTTATCAAAAGTTATGGGACAGTTGAAAATTACTAAAAAAATTACTAAATTTAAAATGCTAATTGTGATACACGAGTAATTTAAATTGTATAAACTTTTTTTTATTAGATTCCCTAATACTAGGGCTATCATAAGAAATATTTTTGTTAAAATTGAATGCCTACGAGTGGAGAAATTACACTTCAATAAAATTGTCAAAAAAACAAATTTGATCTTTGAACGTTACCTGTACCGGACTTGATAGATATTAAAGATAGATGCTAACTATCTTATATAGAATTGTAGGCAGAAATGATGTTTACAACTTTAATTATTAGCATTTTTCATAGTATCTAGTTAAAATTTTGATTTTAATTTACGTGAATAAAAACGGCCGAAATTTATTAAAATTAAAGGTTAAAATAAAAAAAATCTGATTTTAATTATCAAACAGTCACAAGAAAAAATTTTTTATTTAATAATATTACAATAAAAACAATTCTAATTAAACTTAATCTCAAGAATCTAGTGCACCTATTTAAAAAGTTTTAGACTTATATATTAAAAATTAAGGGAATAATTGATGATTAAATTTTAGGGAATAATTTTTAAATATTCAAATTCAATCATTAGTATTAATTTCAATTTTCAAGTAAAAAATCTAAAATTTTTACTATATATGTACCATATTCTTAGCTATAACTTTTATTAATACTACTTTTGTTAATATATATATTTTTTTTTAACAATTAGAGTCTTGTTAGATACTTTATTAAATAAAACAAATGTTAAATTTACATGTTGTGTTCTAACTATCTACTCTAAACTAAACTATTACTAATTTAATCTAGATGACAAGTCGATCCATTAACATTCACAAAGTGGGAATTGATGGCCAAGACTCCATCAGTTAATATAATTATAATAATGTTTGTAAAAAAAAATGTTCCCATACATCGTTAGTAAATTATACTGTGGCGGTGTCACCGGTGGTTCCTGGTTTCCTCAAGAACCACCTAGTAGCGTGACTTAACAGTTCTTTTAAGGAGTTTATAGGCCTTTCCCAAAGGTAAGACTGTTGTTTTATTATTTTAAAAGGCACCACT